GGGGCAAAAAGATAGGATGATGGATAAACCGATAAAAAAATACGCCCGACAAATATCCTCATTGGCGATACGATAGCACTTTCACACAACGATACCTTGATTTAGTTAAAAGTTTTTATTCTCTATCTGTACAAAGTAACTGAAGAGCTGTCGACTCGAGTTATATTGATTATTGTCGCAATTTGAACGAGTTACTGAAGCATATTCAATTTACACGATATCAATAATCAATTGAATCCATGCCACGCTCGAAAATATTCGATAGCCCGCTTTAGTTAATTAAAAATGGCAACTATTTGCAGAAATCCACTTGACCTATAGTAAATATAGGTGTAGTGTCGCGTTACTTTTATACTTGAAATTCGTGTCGGTGACTTCGGCTGTTCATCGCAAGACTGAAAACCTAAAAACGTATTTCTTTTTAAATAAAGAAACATCAATTAAACTGATTACAGATCATTTCATTGTTTAGACGCATTTTACTTTAAAATATGACGGTTTCATGACATAGGTACTCCAAATGTAGTTAAAGTTTTAATCTGTTTTTGATTTTTGATTTTTTCAAAATTGTGAATAAGATTTTGATTTTATAACTATAAAATTTACCTGATTCTGATATGTATACGTATATGTATTTATATCCATACAATCTTCGTATCTATATTTAGATCAGTCTAGTTAAAAAAAAACCTCGTAAAAAGAGTGTGAGTTTCTTTCTAGCAGATTTAAAATTACTTGCTGAGATTTAATTTATTCGCAACAGTTGGAAAACGGTTATTTCGCGTATCGCTGTTAACTGTTTGCGCCTGTGACTGTTTTGCGGATTAAATTCGCAGCCATATGGCGCCACCACATATCCATGAATAATTATGCGCAAGAATCGCCGTCGCGTTATTGCAAGTGTGAATACCTGTTCGCGAGTTTCTGCATAACTTTATGATGTAACCAGAGTCGTGCGTAAATTATCATGCGCTACTTCCTAATTAGTTAAAAATGCGGGAGCTTTCAAATATCATGCTGCACAGGCATCGTTCACGCAGGAAAATTCGCGTATGCCGTAATCCTTCCACCGTATACCCAAAAGATGCAATATAGAATTCGTACCTACCTCTCGCCGCAGAGATGTGTGCTGCGAAACGTTCTGGTGTCTCGTATGCGTGTATATGGCGAATCATGCGACACGAGAACACGAGACCGATACCCCTCGAAACTCGATCGTGAATGCAATTTGTTTCGATTACAAAATTTCACGAAATAAAAAAAAAATAAAGCTTCTCAGTTGCCTCGTGTCCTCGTAATTACCGGCGTTGGAATCTCACGGTGACCGTTCGTAATGCGACCCTGGAATGTCATCGG